ACTTCCTGTCACTGTATCAGCTGACTGATTATAATGTGTGAAACATCGTCAGTTAAATTATCCGGGGTTATTTTAATGTCCGGGCTCTTATTGTGGTAGTGTTCTTTATCAGTAACACTGCTAATAATAACAACAATAACAATAATATTAATAATAATCATAATATTATTAATATTAGACTGAACATCATTAATCATCAACGTCCCGATCTGAACTCATCGATCGGTATCGGCCATGTTGAGCGTTATTGATCCGATCCCTCACACTCGTTGACTTCCTGTTGCCTGACCTGCGTCTCTGTGCAGGAAGAAGACGTCGACGTGGTGGAGCACGGTGGCGGGCTGTCTGTCCGTCGGCAGTCCCACCTTCTTCCGCTCGGGAGCGCAGGAGTTCGGCGAGCCCGGCTGGTGGAAGCTGGTCCAGAACCGACCTCCGACTCTGAGACCTGAGGTGGACAAATCCACTACCAAGACTAAAGGTAACCTCCACCTGGATCCACCAGGAGCCCTCAGAGGCGTCAGGTGACCTCTGCAAGTAAAGCTGATGTTTTGTTCACCCGCAGCCACCAAGCCCGCCGTGGACCCGATCATCACCGTGGAGGGTCTGAGGAAGCGTGGCGCCAGGAACCCGGTGGAGAACGCCATGCAGCTGAAGGAAAAACGCTCCCGCACACAGGAGGCCAAAGACATCCGGCGGGCTCAGAAGGAGGCGGTGGGAGGCTACACCGATCGCAGTGCCTCCTCCACGCCGGTCAAACTGGGCGGAGGCCGCGGGGGCAGCACTGGACGCCGGCCCGACCTCGTCCTGGAGAAAGGGGAGGTCATAGACTTCTCCTCCCTCAGCTCTTCAGACCGAACACCGCTCACCAGCCCGTCACCGTCACCTTCACCTGACTTCTCCGCCCCGGGAACGCCAGCTTCTCATTCAGCGACACCCAGCCTGCTGTCAGAGGCGGACCTCATCCCTGACGCCATGCCGCCGCAGGCGCTGTTCCACGGTGAGTTACCGACCCTCAGATATTAACGTTCCTCTAATGAACTGTGAGTAGTTTAATCACTCGCTGTGTTGATGGACCTGCAGACGATGAGGAGATGGAGACGGAGGGAATGATTGACCCCGGGATGGAGTACATCCCTCCTCCCAGCGCCAACCTGGCCGCCCGCAAGAAGCTCCACATAGCCCCCCCTCACATTAAACGTGAGGCAGTGAGCGAGGACGATGAAGGCCGCGACCGCGAAGACGACTTTGAAGAGCCAGTTGGACGAGGTGAAGGTCCGTCTCTCTCCACTGGGGGGTGTGTTGGTGCCGGAGGACCCGAGCGGAGGAGGATAACTCATCCTGAGAAAGCCGGCGGTGCCGGCGGCGTCTCCCAGACTCCTCGCTTCGCCCTGCTCAGTCTGTACGAGGAGAGGATGCTGCTGCGACGGCTGGACGCCTGCCCGCTGGCCTTGGCCGTCACTCCGCAGGCCAAACGCCTCCACAGGAAACTGTTGGTCCGCCAGGCCAAGAGGCAGAGAGGGCTCCCGCTGTTGGACATTGACCGGGCCGTCAGCGCCACCCTCAGCCTGGTGGGAGGGATCTACGGCGCCCAGGAGGGCGGGACACTGCGAGGGGGAATCATAGGCAAATACTGCACCAACAGCCAGGAGCTGCGTATCCTCGATCGCTTCCAGGTAACAGTCTGATGGGGCGATCCATTTGTCTCGTAAACCCCCCGCCCGAGTTGGAAAGTGTAAATCTCACAGCTATCTCGCAACATTTCACCGACACACCCCCCCCTTTTGGTCGTAATTTCAGCCGTCCCACTCGGGGCTCCTCAGAGTGCACCGAGCTGAACGGGGGGGGGCACGTATGACTCGCAAAACAAAGATGGCTGCGCCCATATTGAGATGTATTTTCTTTGTATTTGTGCTACGTTGGTCGTTTTAATGTCGACTTTAAATTCTCCTACACACTGTTTACATTGCTGCTTTAGTCCGGTCACCAGTTTATGCATTGCACCGTGTTACTGTGAGTTCAACACAATGTAAAGCTAAGTAGGCTAATGTAGCTAACAATAACACTAGCCTGCCCCGGGTGGCCCCTGGAGGCCCCTGGTGGCCCCTGGAGGCCCCTGGTGGCTCCTGGTGGCCCCTGGAGGCCCCTGGTGGCCCCGGTGGCCCCTGGTGGCTCCTGGAGGCCCCTGGTGGCTCCTGGTGGCTCCTGGTGGCCCCTGGAGGCTCCTGGTGGCCCCTGGTGGCCCCTGGAGGCCCCTGGAGGCCCCTGGTGGCTCCTGGTGGCCCCTGGTGGCCCCTGCTGCACTGGTGGCGTCCATGTTCTTTCTGACTCGTAACGCCCAAAGACAACTGGAACGCTATCAGTGGTACAAGCCGGGTAATTACGTCATGTTCTCACGTCAGAGCAACTCGGGCTCCGAGTTCACGAGACAAATGGATCGCACCATGTTGCCCCCCCGGGCCATTGTTCTGCTCTTATAGTCGTATACGGGTCAACGCAGTGGTACCAGGTCAGACAGAACCACTGATGATGTAATGTGTTTGTGTACAGACCAACCTCTCTAACAGGCGGGTCCAACAGCACTCGGTCTCCTTCTGGCATCGTCTCATGGGGGCAGAGGGCAGTTTGGACCGGAGCATCAAGAGTCCGTACACGTCCCGACTCCTGAAACCCTACATCAGGTAAAGCGGGTCCTCAGACCTTCCCTCAGGAAGAGCAGGTTCCCTTCCTCTGGACATTATTATTAGTAATATTAGTAATAATAGTATTATTAGTATTAGCAGTATTAATATTATTAGTATTATTAGTAGTAGTAGTAATATTAATATTATTAAAATTATTAATATTAGTATTTCTGTGTGTGTGTGTGTGTGTGTGTGTGTGTGTGTGTGTTGTTCAGGAGGGATTATGAGAGTCGTCCGGTGAAGTTGAGGTTGTTGGCAGAGATCCGGTCGTACCCTCACAGGAAGAACCCCGACTGGGTCCCTGAACCCAACGCCCCCATTGATTACTGCTACGTCCGTCCCAACCACATCCGATCAGTGAACGCCATGTGTCACGACAGCTTTTGGCCAGGTAGCACAGACTCCTTCCAAAGACCCATCCTACCCTGAATCTGTGGGTCCAGACCCAGCATGTGTTCTGTTCCCCTCCAGGTGTGGACCTGTCCGAGTGTCTCCAGTACCCGGACTTCAGCGTGGTCGTCCTCTATAAGAAAGTCGTAGTCGGCTTTGGTTTCATGGTTCCGGACGTGAAGTACAACGAGGCCTACATCTCCTTCCTGCTGGTCCATCCTGAGTGGAGGAGAGCCGGCATCGGTACCTTCATGATCTACCATCTGATCCAGGTGAGCCTCCAGAGGTCCGACAGTACTCGAGGTTTGCAGTGAATGAGTAACAGATGTTGAGTAACAGATGTTGTGTTTCAGACGTGTATGGGGAAAGACGTGACGCTACACGTGTCGGCCAGTAATCCCGCCATGCTGCTGTATCAGAAGTTCGGGTTCAAAGCGGAGGAATACATCCTGGACTTCTACGATAAATATTATCCTGTAGACAGCAGCGAGTGCCGCCACGCCTTCTTCCTCCGACTCAGGCGCTGAGTCTGCAGCACGGTGCCTTGCTCCAGGGCACCTGGACAAAAAAGCTGCTGCAGACAGACAGACAGACGCTGTCTGTCTGAATGTTTCCACAGCGAGAAAACGACAGGTTGTTTCCTGTTTATCAACTGAACACAAAGAAACTTTAAAATCATCCAACTGTTGATTTTATCCTACGAACTTATAAATGGAAATTAAAATACGTTTGTGACTCATTTCTGTGTGAGTGTGAGTGTGCGTGAGTGTGCGAGTGTTAGGGCTGGGCGATATAGCTTAAAAATAAAATCTCTGACCTATGGGAGCCCAAAGGGAGCGCCGGTGTTGTGGAAGTTCAAGAGAAAACCGATTTTAACTAAAATTGTGTTTAACTACTAATTCGAATTAATCAATAAAATCAATATATCGCCCAGCCCTAGTGTGTGTGTGTGTGTGTGTGTGAGTGAGTGTGTGTTTGTGAGTGTGTACGTACAGAAACAGTTTAATATCTATAGAGCAGGTCTAGACCGAACTCCTTATGACATTATTTACAGAGACCCAACAGTACTACCATGATTAAGACCTTGGAGACAGCAGCAAGGAAATACTGCCGTTAAGAGGCAGAAACGTATTGATTAACGAGGTTCCGTGTATGAAGTTGTATTTTCGGTCTCTTTTAAATGTGTTTGGGGAGGTTGAGTATTGATTATTGATCTGTAACAGTTGTCCACTGTTCTCTGTAATAATATGAAACAACAACAAATAAACTAGAAAACAAACGTGATGAGTGTGTTTGGCTGATGAAGACCATTAGATGAAGCTGAACGCCAGTTTATTTAGTCACATGAGGTCAACAGTCTTACAGGAAATTATTAATTTAAATAAATCATGTTTATTTATTTAGTAACAAAGAATCAAGCCGCTGCTTTATGATCAGTTTCCGATCAATGAGTCGGTACTTCCTGTGTTACAGAGCATCCAGTCAGAACACGTCCAGGTTCAGTTTGGGTTTTCCCAGTTTTCCCAGTAAGTCCAGTCCTGTCTGAGCAGCCAGGAGAGACGCCATGTCGTTGCAGCCGGAGTTCACCGCCAAGTCGTACGCCGTCAGACCGCCGGCGTTCCTCCGCCGCACGCCGGCCTTCAGGCTGAAAGTACAAAAGTACATGTCATAGTGACATCAGGAGGTATTTTTGTGTGTGTGTGTATGTGTTGGTACAAGAGTGTCGTACCTGAGCAGGACTCTAGCGGACTGCAGACCTTCAGAGCCCAAAACTGCAGCTTCATGCAGAGCAGAGTTCTTCATCCTGAGGAGGAGTTCACCTTCATCATGTTAAACCATAATAATGTATATTATATTGTATTACATTATATTATATTATATTTCATTATATTATATTATATCTCCCTGGAGTTTAATATCTTATATATCTCATGTGCAAACAGGTGACCGTTGTCATGGTAACAGTGATCAGGTGACAACCTGAGTTTGTAGAAACTGATCCTGTTAAAATAAGAACAAATATTAAAGGTGCGGTCTGTAATTTCTGCCACTAGAGGGTCTCTCACATCCAAACAGACAGAACCTTCTCGTTATAATCTCGTTATGATCTTGTCTTACTGTCCAGACTCCTGGTCCACGTCGGCTCCACGCTGCACTAAAACAGGAAGTACATCATGGTGCCCGTTCACCACGGCGACCGCCAGTGCGTGTCTGCCATCGCTGCCGCAGCAAGAAGGGTCCGCCCCCTGGTGGTTGACGAGGAAACAAACAGATTGATCAGCGTTAGCTACGTCAGGATCCAGACGAGGCAGCTGATTGGCTCCAGAGGTTGGTACCTGATCCAAGAGCTGCTGGACGATGCTGATCTCACCCTGACCTGGACCGAGCTCCTTCAGCAGCTGAACGTCCTTCACCTGGAACCAGGAGGACCAATCAGACAGCAGCAGAACAGTGAACTACACTTTATGATCAGGTTCAGTCCCTACCGGAGGTTTGGGTGTTGGGTTTGGTTTGGGAGGTTTCATCACACCTGTGGACTGATGACTTCCTGTCAGACAAATAATACATCATCAATAAACTGTGGGAACTTATGAGTGGCCTTTAAAGAAATGCTGGCACTGAGAAGGTTTGTTAAAGGTCCAGTGGTGCAGATGCATATATAGATGTGACTATATGTGTAGCTAGTAAGCTAGCATTTTCCTGACATGAGCTCACCAAAATTAAACCTAAATCTAAGATAAATTTAGTTAAAAGTGGGCAGAGGTCACATACACTGAGCAGAGGTCACATACACAGGGCAGAGGTCACATACACAGGGCAGAGGTCACATACACTGAGCAGAGGTCACATACACAGGGCAGAGGTCACATACACAGGGCAGAGGTCACATACACAGAGCAGAGGTCACATACACTGAGCAGAGGTCACATACACAGGGCAGAGGTCACATACACAGAGCAGAGGTCACATACACTGAGCAGAGGTCACATACACAGAGCAGAGGTCACATACACTGAGCAGAGGTCACATACACAGGGCAGAGGTCACATACACAGGGCAGAGGTATAGAATAAACTTACATCAGTACTTTTCGTTGACATTTTTTTGACATGTAATCGGATTACATTTTTAAAGTAACCTGACTCTTACTGAGACCGCTGCTGTCGGCGGATCGCTCTGTAACGCTGCTCAGAGTCTCAGTCCGACCTGCAGTCGGTCCAGCGCTGCCGCCTGCTGGCTCCTGTTTCTCTTCCCGCCCCGCCGACACGAAGCTGATGGTCACACTGACCTCGTAGCGATCTTCCTGAATCACAGCAGAAACCAGCTGAAGGAGAACGGGAATACAACACAGGAAGTGAACCACAGTACCGAATGCACCTGCTCAGGTGACATCATTCCGTAATGTTCCTAATGTTCACGTTAGCTGGGGAAGCTAACGTTAGCCAACTAACACACTCAGATAGCATTTAGCTAGTGATAAAGATAGCATGCAAGCTAGCTAACGTAAAACCAACTTGTTAATTAATCCCACAGGTGTTGTACAGGTGAGGAGTGGCGTACCCGGCCCAGGCGAGGCTCTCCCAGCAGAGCCCTGAAGGGGGCGTTGTTCTGAGCGTAACTCCTCAGGTGAGCACAGACGTGATCCAACTGCTTCCTCCAGAAACCTGAAGACAGACATGTATCAATATTATCAATATCAATATCAGAAGTGTCAGTAATGTCAGTAGTATCTGACCTCTGCCCGGGCTGACAGCGGTCAGTAGTGATTGGCGGTCTCTGGTCAACTGCTGTCTGCTGACTTCTAGCTCCTTCTGTTGCTCTTTCCTCTGCAGCTCAGTGGCTGATGGGTAATAGAGTCCAACAGTCTGCGTGTAGTTCTCTGCAGTGGGCGTGATCACCTCCACTTTAGGGGCGGAGTCAGAGGAGGGTGTGGTCTGCCAGGTGCAGCGTACCCGGTTGGCGGCCCCATTAGGTCCTGTGATGTCACGGTGCGATGTGGGCGGGGCCGGTGCTTCCAGGAAGACGCCGCAGGCTGCGCAGTGAAAGGCGTACGGGTGTCCACTCGCTCCGCATCGCCAACAAATCACACAGCTGACTGCGTGACCAGGCTGAAAATACACACATCACTACATTCCCCACAATGCTTCACTCTACAGAGAAGCCAAGCTCCATCAAAACACTACAGAAGAAGAACTGCAGATTGGTCATTAGCATGCTACCATTACTTTTAGAGCACACATTAGCCAATGTATAGTCACTCACATCACGTGCTAAGCTAACAATTACTGGCATGACGCTAATCGTTAGTTAGCTGGTTAGCTAGGTTAAGTATGTGACTAGGTTCTGCTAGTTTATGCTAAAAACACCTAGAGAGTCTTCTACCTGTAACCTACTGGTCAGAGGTCACATAAACTGGTCAGAGGTCACA